TCCAAAGAGAATGGCTTCAGTTTTCCCTAGGTGTAATGATAGTTTGTTGTCTACTAACCATTTGCTGCAGGACTCCAGTTCCAGTGTTAAAACATTAGCAATATCTTGTGGGTCTTTACCTGACACTAACAGAGCACTGTCATCTGCATACAGTAGAGTTTGCACTTGACACTGATAGCATATCATTGACATAACATAAGAATAATAAGGGACCCAGAATACTACCTTGGGGAACTCCACATGTTATCCGGCAGGGGTTCTGATTCTTTTTGTTGATTTTGACTATTTGTCTCCTGTTGCTAAGGTAGGACTTAAACCAGTCTACAGAACCTATACCGATAGCTTGAAGTTTATTACATAATATATTGTGGTTGACAGTATCGAAGGCCTTTTGCAGGTCTAAGGTTACCATACCTATGAGGTTCCCCTTTGACATTTCAGTTCTCAGGTAATCCATCAGATTAATAAGGGAGGTATCGGTTGAGTAGGATCTTCTAAAGCCCGATTGATAGCTATGGAGAATGTTGTTGTCATTAAGGTACTTAACTACTTGAGAATACACCGCCCTCTCTAGAATTTTAGATATTATACTGAGTATACTAACAGGCCTATAGTTGCTTACATCAGACCTATTTTTCTTGAAGATAGGAGTAACTCTGGCCTCCTTGAACCCCTCTGGTACGGTATTAGTGGTGATTGATAGATTTATTATGTGAGCAATGGGGATTGACAGTTCAGAAGCACCATCTTTTAGGAACTTAGACGGGATGTTATCAGGGCCTGTGCTCTTAGTTGGGTTTAACCTGCTTAGTTCTTTTTGAATAAAGTCATGAGATACACTTACTAGTTGACAACTGTTTGGGGTTACCCCTTTATTGGTATAGTATGTTTGAAACTTATCAGAGTCTGTGTTAAAGGTATTTGATGCAGCTGGTAGTTTACTTACTAGTGTTGATGCAACAGATGTGTAATATGAATTAAAGCAATTTGCCACCTTAGATGTTTCGTGGCATACCTCATTATCGATAGTGAGTACTATGTTAGACCTATCTACTGGCTTATGGCTATACCCCAACTGTTTTAGTTGTTGCCAGAGCTTTCTGGGGTTATAGTAATGGCATAGGATAATGGAGGGTCTTAGCTGCGATGCCTGCCGTGTCTCGATTTTCAGATGTTGTAGTGTGCATGTGAAGTGTGCCGAAAATGCGACCTTGGTGGTCGTGAAGTGGTCCAGTTGCAGTTACTTGAAAGAATGTAACCCGTTGGAGCAGTTTTCCACACCATAGAAGCCTAGAGAGATTTGGCCCAATGGTTAACGTGCAAGGGTGACTAGCATTGGCTAGTGCATTTCTAGTAGAAGTAGGGAAGGCACTGGAGCCCGATATTTAGGTTTAAGGAGAAATGACGGGTAAGGAGGCTTTGCCCCCAGAGAGCAACTATTATGCTGGCCAACTGCCAGGTGTACTGATTACGCTGCCTTGTGGTAGATGAGTAGGTTGAGGGAAATATATGTAGTTGAATAATTTTGTATTATGTTATGTATAATTTTGTCTTTGTACTGTAATAGATTTAAGGGGTTAGGATTAAAATAGTCTAATAACTTAGGACAAATTGTCCTAGTTCTCAGATATTTTAAATTGGGGGAGAAAGGGGGATGTGATGTAGTTCAGCTGGGCTTGTGAGGTCTCTGGGGAGACCTAATTTAACCAATTACATGGTCACACCTTGCCTTGGCAAACGTCTGTCAGCCACGCCCACATCTGAGGTCTTTTGTTCTTGACGGCGTCAGGTCATACACGTGGTTGTGGGGGGGTGCTCTCGGGACAATATAAGCCCAAGGAACAGCTGAGCAGAGGAGATTCTGGCAGATTATTATTATTATTATTACAATCAAGGGGGAAGCGCTAAACCCGGAGGATTATACAGCGCCTGGGGGGGTATGTGGAAGGCATTCAGGCTTAATTTGGGGAACTGGAGCACAGATCCAATTCCCTAAATCAAGAGCCCCTCACCAACATCAAGGAACCTTCCTTGAGGGGAGATTCTGGCAGAGCTCTGGCCTGGGAGCAGAGCTGAGCTGGAGAGTCTCGGGAGGAGAGACTGTTGGAGACATTGGGCAGAGTACTGGCTTGGAGCAGTACTCGTGCTGTGTAGGTCTTGGGACCTGTGGCTTAGTTCCTGTAGTGAACTGTCCTCTGTACTATATTGTAAGTTATATTCATTTTCGTCAAGTTGATTGTGTTCCCTGTCTCACTGCTTATGTGTACCACCCCATTTATCTAAACCCCAATGATGTACTCCTGTTCCCAAATATATTATTGCACAAGGACTTAGTAATAAACTGTGTTTGAGTAGAATAGTAATATTCACTGTCCCCGTTATTTGCTATTTTATTCATTATTTTATTTCGTGCAGTGAGAAGGTGAGTAGTGTGGTGAGTAATGAGAGGTGAAGGTGTAGTCACCAGTGACCTCACATTACCTACCAACCTCCACACTCGTCCCTCCTACTGCCTCGCCTGTCCCCTACCTACTGACTCCCTCCTCTTACCCTTTTATTCCCCTAATCATTACCCCCTACATGACAAGAATGCCATGAAGCTTTTAATAAAGCCAAACTGCTACTTTGTATTGCACCCATTCTTGTCCCCGGATTTTTCAAAACCCTTTATATTACAGGTTGATGGACGAGTCTGGGGTTACCTGAAGGTTATTCCGGGGATCAATGCCCCCGCGGCCCGGTCCATGACCAGGCCTCCCTAGTTGATCAGGGCCTGATCAACTAGGCAGTTACTGCTGGCTGCACGCAGTCCAACGTATGAGCCACAGCCCGGCTGATCCGGCACTGACTTTAGGTATCTCTCCAGCTCTCTCTTGAAGGCAGCCAGGGGTCTTGAAGGCAGCCAGGGGTTTATTGGCAATTCCCTAATGCTTGATGGGAGGCTGTTGAACAGTTTTGGGCCCTGGACACTTATGGTGTTTTCCCTTAGTGTACGAATGGTGCCCCTACTTTTTTGGGGGGCATTTTGCATCGCCTGCCCAGTCTTTTACTTTCGTAGGGAGTGATTTCTGTGTGCAGATTTGGGACCATTCCTTCCAGGATTTTCCAAGCGTAGATTACGAGATATCTATCCCTCCTGCGTTCCAATGAGTACAAGTCAAGTGTTTCCAAGCGTTCCCAGTAGTTAAGGTGCTTGACAGAACTTATATGTGCAGTAAAGGATCTCTGTACACTCTCTAGATCTGCGATTTCACCTGCTTTGAATGGAGATGTTAATGTACAGCAGTATTCCAGCCTAGAGAGAACAAGTGATTTGAAAAGGATCATCATTGGCTTGGCATCTCTCGTTTTGAGAGTTCTCATTATCCATCCTATCATTTTCTTTGCACGTGTGATCGTGGCACTGTTGTGATCCTTGAAAGTGAGATCCTCAGACATTACTACTCCCAGGTCCCTTACATTATTTTTCCGCTCTATTGTATGGCCGGAGTCAGTACTATACTCTGTTCTAGTTATCTCCTCCAGTTTTCCATAACGGAGTAGTTGGAATTTGTCTGGGGAAGAGTGCTTGCAGCCTGTGGCTTACTTCTCCGCCAAGTATCTAACTCACCAAAGGGCTTATGCCACCATTGAGAAAGAAACCCTCACTCTGATACAACAATCACAATCCACAGGTCTACCTCAACACCATGAATTACCACAAGTCTGATGAGATGGAGTCTCAGGCTGCAACCTTCCATTAACCCGTAAACGGTCCAAACGTATATATACGTTTTTTCAACATTTGAAAGTATGTAAAATAAGTAGATTTTTTTTTTTTTTACATTTGAAAATGTGTAAAAAAAACTTTGATCTGCTTTTTTTTTGTTATATTTGAAAATATGTAAAAAAAAAAAGGTAGATCTACTTTTGGAGCAGTACACATGAACGTAGATCTGCCTGGACCGTGCAGTACACATGAACGTAGATCTGCCTGGACCGTTTACAGGTTAAAACTGTACATATTGCCGGCAAGGAAAATAAGCCAATTCCCTCCCCGTGTTTAATTTACTTTACGATGTATTAAGGACCATATGGGTAGCTTAGCTTTTTTTTTTCTTTTATAAATTTATTTTTTTTTTTTTTTTTTTTTTTTTAGTGAGCAGACATTCTGCTGGTGTCCGCAGGTGTCTTGAACCAATGTTAGCCCTACTGTCTGCTGCCTTACTATAGGATAGAGTGAGGCAGCAGACAGTTGAGCCCTATCTAATGAGTTGAATGGTTGAAAGGAAAGATGGTTCCTTTATTCAGTGCCATGGCAGCACACTGCCCATGGCACTGAATAAAGGACTAGGCTCTAATAGCCAAGACTAGGCTCTAATAGCCTAGTCCTGGCTATTAGAGGCCTTTTGGGGTGAGGGTGTGGCATGCAAAGAATATGTTGCAATTTATTCGGCGTAAGTACACACTCCCATGTAGGCTGCCTCCCAACCAGTAAACTGGGTGTTAAGGGTTTAATGATTATTAGGGTACCCATCGTTAAATCAGTACCTTGGTTCATGTCCAATCACAGGCGAGCCCGCCAATTGCTGAGACAATGTGGTTCACTTGCAGTCAGCATTTGCCAGACTTGCCTACCAGCTAGTTGAATACAGTGCTCTCTGGTTTTTTCTTTTGCCATTCTGTTGCCGTGTGGTACACTGACTACTCCAATCTTTGTACACAGTGTACGTAAGTGTACATATTTGCATGTATCTTATGAAGGAAACACAAGTTATAGTTATCTGGTCACAAGCCATTCTTACCTGTGTTCATAGTACCTGGTGTAGTAGTACCTAGTGGTACATGGTGGAGTACCTGGTGTGGTATCTGGTGTAGTACCTGGTGTAGTACATGTAGTTCCTGGTGTAGTACCTGGTGCGGTATCTGGTGTAGTACCTGTTACTACACTATCCTCTCTTATATACACTGTCCTCTCCTATATACATTGTGGTTGTTTTAAGGAGAATAAAATATCAATGATATATATATATATTTTATTGATGGATCAAGTACTAGTGTAGTTGTCAGCCAGTGTGGCCACTATGTTGTACGGCCCACACACTGTACGGCCAATACACTGTATGGCCAAGACCCAGTGCAAATGTGACAATGAAACCTTAGCGATGGTGACAGTGCACCATCTTGTACCCACAGTGGTGGTGCGATCTTCAACCACCAGTGCCACCATGGTAGTCACACTGCACTGGGTGCCATGCCACTACTCGCACCACTGTGCCAGTGGTGCTTCACGACTACTTCCACCACTGTGGCAGTGGCACTGCACCACTATTTGTGCCACTGTGATAGTGGTGCCACACCACTAGCATCACTGTGGTAGTGGCACTGCACCACTACTCACATCACTGTGGTAATGGCACTGCACCACTACTTGCATCACAATGGAAGTGGTGCCACACCACTACTTGCATTACTGAGGTACCAATGCCACACCACTAATGCCATTGTGGTAGTGGTGCCGTGCCACTACTAGTGCCACTGGATGCCAGTGAAGAAGGCATGGTCCTTGATCTCCTGTACACCACTAGCACCATTGTGGTAGCGGTGCCATGCCACTAGCGCCACTGGATGCCGGTGAAGAAGGCGTGATCCTTGATCTCCTGTGCACTGGCGGCGCCACCGCCCAGACGCTCCACCGGGTGTGCACACAACAACTGTAACAATGCAGACAAAGATGACAGCAGTTAGTACATAGAGTACTCTAAGTACACTTATAAAGTTTCTCTATATGTAGAGAGCTTCATAAGAGCACTGACTGTATATAGTGGACCACTACAAAGTGACCATGTGTGTAGTGTACTACATGGTGACCATGTGTGTAGTGTGCTACATGGTGACCATGTGTGTAGTGTACTACATGGTGACCATGTGTGTAGTGTACTACATGGTGACCATGTGTGTAGTGTGCTACATGGTGACCATGTGTGTAGTGTACTACATGGTGACCATGTGTGTAGTGTGCTACATGGTGACCATGTGTGTAGTGTACTACATGGTGACCATGTGTGTAGTGTGCTACATGGTGACCATGTGTGTAGTGTACTACATGGTGACCATGTGTGTAGTGTACTACATGGTGACCATGTGTGTAGTGTACTACATGGTGACCATGTGTGTAGTGTGCTACATGGTGACCATGTGTGTAGTGTGCTACATGGTGACCATGTGTGTAGTGTGCTACATGGTGACCATGTGTGTAGTGTACTACATGGTGACCATGTGTGTAGTGTGCTACATGGTGACCATGTGTGTAGTGTACTACATGGTGACCATGTGTGTAGTGTGCTACATGGTGACCATGTGTGTAGTGTACTACATGGTGACCATGTGTGTAGTGTACTACATGGTGACCATGTGTGTAGTGTACTACATGGTGACCAGTGTTGTAGTGTGCTACATGGTGACCATGTGTGTAGTGTGCTACATGGTGACCATTTTGTGTAGTGTGCTACATGGTGACCATGTGTGTAGTGTACTACATGGTGACCATGTGTGTAGTGTACTACATGGTGACCATGTGTGTAGTGTGCTACATGGTGACCATGTGTGTAGTGTGCTACAAGGTGACCATGTGTGTAGTGTGCTACATGGTGACCATGTGTGTAGTGTACTACATGGTGACCATGTGTGTAGTGTGCTACATGGTGACCATGTGTGTAGTGTGCTACATGGTGACCATGTGTGTAGTGTACTACATGGTGACCATGTGTGTAGTGTGCTACATGGTGACCATGTGTGTAGTGTGCTACATGGTGACCATGTGTGTAGTGTACTACATGGTGACCATGTGTGTAGTGTGCTACATGGTGACCATGTGTGTAGTGTACTACATGGTGACCATGTGTGTAGTGTGCTACAAGGTGACCATGTGTGTAGTGTGCTACATGGTGACCATGTGTGTAGTGTGCTACAAGGTGACCATGTGTGTAGTGTGCTACATGGTGACCATGTGTGTAGTGTACTACAGGGTGACCATGTGTGTAGTGTGCTACAAGGTGACCATGTGTGTAGTGTGCTACATGGTGACCATGTGTGTAGTGTGCTACATGGTGACCATGTGTGTAGTGTGCTACATGGTGACCATGTGTGTAGTGTACTACATGGTGACCATGTGTGTAGTGTGCTACAAGGTGACCATGTGTGTAGTGTGCTACATGGTGACCATGTGTGTAGTGTGCTACATGGTGACCATGTGTGTAGTGTACTACATGGTGACCATGTGTGTAGTGTGCTACATGGTGACCATGTGTGTAGTGTGCTACATGGTGACCATGTGTGTAGTGTGCTACATGGTGACCATGTGTGTAGTGTGCTACATGGTGACCATGTGTGTAGTGTACTACATGGTGACCATGTGTGTAGTGTGCTACATGGTGACCATGTGTGTAGTGTGCTACATGGTGACCATGTGTGTAGTGTACTACATGGTGACCATGTGTGTAGTGTACTACATGGTGACCATGTGTGTAGTGTACTACATGGTGACCATGTGTGTAGTGTGCTACATGGTGACCATGTGTGTAGTGTACTACATGGTGACCATGTGTGTAGTGTGCTACATGGTGACCATGTGTGTAGTGTACTACATGGTGACCATGTGTGTAGTGTGCTACATGGTGACCATGTGTGTAGTGTACTACATGGTGACCATGTGTGTAGTGTACTACATGGTGACCATGTGTGTAGTGTACTACATGGTGACCATGTGTGTAGTGTGCTACATGGTGACCATGTGTGTAGTGTGCTACATGGTGACCATGTGTGTAGTGTACTACATGGTGACCATGTGTGTAGTGTGCTACATGGTGACCATGTGTGTAGTGTGCTACATGGTGACCATGTGTGTAGTGTACTACATGGTGACCATGTGTGTAGTGTGCTACATGGTGACCATGTGTGTAGTGTGCTACATGGTGACCATGTGTGTAGTGTGCTACATGGTGACCATGTGTGTAGTGTGCTACATGGTGACCATGTGTGTAGTGTACTACATGGTGACCATGTGTGTAGTGTGCTACATGGTGACCATGTGTGTAGTGTGCTACATGGTGACCATGTGTGTAGTGTACTACATGGTGACCATGTGTGTAGTGTACTACATGGTGACCATGTGTGTAGTGTGCTACATGGTGACCATGTGTGTAGTGTGCTACATGGTGACCATGTGTGTAGTGTACTACATGGTGACCATGTGTGTAGTGTGCTACATGGTGACCATGTGTGTAGTGTGCTACATGGTGACCATGTGTGTAGTGTACTACATGGTGACCATGTGTGTAGTGTACTACATGGTGACCATGTGTGTAGTGTGCTACATGGTGACCATGTGTGTAGTGTGCTACATGGTGACCATGTGTGTAGTGTGCTACATGGTGACCATGTGTGTAGTGTGCTACATGGTGACCATGTGTGTAGTGTGCTACATGGTGACCATGTGTGTAGTGTGCTACATGGTGACCATGTGTGTAGTGTGCTACATGGTGACCATGTGTTGTAGTGTGCTACATGGTGACCATGTGTGTAGTGTGCTACATGGTGACCATGTGTGTAGTGTGCTACATGGTGACCATGTGTGTAGTGTGCTACATGGTGACCATGTGTGTAGTGTGCTACATGGTGACCATGTGTGTAGTGTGCTACATGGTGACCATGTGTGTAGTGTGCTACATGGTGACCATGTGTGTAGTGTGCTACATGGTGACCATGTGTGTAGTGTGCTACATGGTGACCATGTGTGTAGTGTGCTACATGGTGACCATGTGTGTAGTGTGCTACATGGTGACCATGTGTGTAGTGTGCTACATGGTGACCATGTGTGTAGTGTGCTACATGGTGACCATGTGTGTAGTGTGCTACATGGTGACCATGTGTGTAGTGTGCTACATGGTGACCATGTGTGTAGTGTACTACATGGTGACCATGTGTGTAGTGTACAACATGGTGACCATGTGTGTAGTGTGCTACATGGTGACCATGTGTGTAGTGTGCTACATGGTGACCATGTGTGTAGTGTACTACATGGTGACCATGTGTGTAGTGTGCTACATGGTGACCATGTGTGTAGTGTACTACATGGTGACCATGTGTGTAGTGTACTACATGGTGACCATGTGTGTAGTGTGCTACATGGTGACCATGTGTGTAGTGTACTACATGGTGACCATGTGTGTAGTGTACAACATGGTGACCATGTGTGTAGTGTGCTACATGGTGACCATGTGTTAGTGTGCTACATGGTGACCATGTGTGTAGTGTACTACATGGTGACCATGTGTGTAGTGTACTACATGGTGACCATGTGTGTAGTGTGCTACATGGTGACCATGTGTGTAGTGTGCTACATGGTGACCATGTGTGTAGTGTGCTACATGGTGACCATGTGTGTAGTGTGCTACATGGTGACCATGTGTGTAGTGTACTACATGGTGACCATGTGTGTAGTGTACAACATGGTGACCATGTGTGTAGTGTGCTACATGGTGACCATGTGTGTAGTGTGCTACATGGTGACCATGTGTGTAGTGTACTACATGGTGACCATGTGTGTAGTGTACTACATGGTGACCATGTGTGTAGTGTGCTACATGGTGACCATGTGTGTAGTGTGCTACATGGTGACCATGTGTGTAGTGTGCTACATGGTGACCATGTGTGTAGTGTGCTACATGGTGACCATGTGTGTAGTGTGCTACATGGTGACCATGTGTGTAGTGTACTACATGGTGACCATGTGTGTAGTGTGCTACAAGGTGACCATGTGTGTAGTGTGCTACATGGTGACCATGTGTGTAGTGTGCTACATGGTGACCATGTGTGTAGTGTGCTACATGGTGACCATGTGTGTAGTGTACTACATGGTGACCATGTGTGTAGTGTGCTACATGGTGACCATGTGTGTAGTGTACTACAAGGTGACCATGTGTGTAGTGTGCTACAAGGTGACCATGTGTGTAGTGTACTACATGGTGACCATGTGTGTAGTGTGCTACATGGTGACCATGTGTGTAGTGTGCTACAAGGTGACCATGTGTGTAGTGTACTACAAGGTGACCATGTGTGTAGTGTACTACATGGTGACCATGTGTGTAGTGTACTACATGGTGACCATGTGTGTAGTGTACATGGTGACCATGTGTGTAGTGTACTACATGGTGACCATGTGTGTAGTGTACTACATGGTGACCATGTGTGTAGTGTACTACATGGTGACCATGTGTGTAGTGTACATGGTGACCATGTGTGTAGTGTACTACAAGGTGACCATGTGTGTAGTGTACTACATAGTGACCATGTGTGTAGTGTACTACATGGTGACCATGTGTGTAGTGTGCTACATGGTGACCATGTGTGTAGTGTACTACATGGTGACCATGTGTGTAGTGTACTACATGGTGACCATGTGTGTAGTGTACTACATGGTGACCATGTGTGTAGTGTACTACATGGTGACCATGTGTGTAGTGTGCTACATGGTGACTGTGTGTAGTGTGCTACATGGTGACCATGTGTGTAGTGTGCTACATGGTGACCATGTGTGTAGTGTGCTACATGGTGACCATGTGTGTAGTGTGCTACATGGTGACCATGTGTGTAGTGTACTACAAGGTGACCATGTGTGTAGTGTGCTACATGGTGACCATGTGTGTAGTGTACAACATGGTGACCATGTGTGTAGTGTGCTACATGGTGACCATGTGTGTAGTGTGCTACATGGTGACCATGTGTGTAGTGTACTACATGGTGACCATGTGTGTAGTGCACTACATGGTGACCATGTGTGTAGTGTACTACATGGTGACCATGTGTGTAGTGTACTACAAGGTGACCATGTGTGTAGTGTACAACATGGTGACCATGTGTTAGTGTGCTACATGGTGACCATGTGTGTAGTGTACTACATGGTGACCATGTGTGTAGTGTACTACATGGTGACCATGTGTGTAGTGTACTACATGGTGACCATGTGTGTAGTGCACTACATGGTGACCATGTGTGTAGTGTACTACATGGTGACCATGTGTGTAGTGTACTACAAGGTGACCATGTGTGTAGTGTACAACATGGTGACCATGTGTGTAGTGTGCTACATGGTGACCATGTGTGTAGTGTACTACATGGTGACCATGTGTGTAGTGTACTACATGGTGACCATGTGTGTAGTGTACTACATGGTGACCATGTGTGTAGTGTGCTACATGGTGACCATGTGTGTAGTGTGCTACGGTTTACCTGAGACAGGAGGGAAGCAGCTTCGGGTGACAGGTGTGATGGTAATAACAGTTCTGTGTGGGACGTGATGCCAGATGTATGTGCCGTACGTACACTCTGTAATGAACAACAAGAGCTATCATTATGAATGTTGTTTTGGTTTTATATATGCCGCAACGGGTTTTAGAAATACCAGCAGCCATCTTTTGAGTGGAATCATGGAACAAAGGGGGATCTAAATGGCATTCACCTGTCCGGTCAACATGTGGTAAATTAAGGCGCCAACGGACCACCAATCTGCCGCCTCTGTTGGCTGTGCCAGTGGTGAACGGAGCTCTGGCGCCAAGTAGCCAGCCTTGTGACACCCATCCGCCATACACCAGCCTCCCAGATGCTGCCAGCACTTTCCACTCCGCACATTCTGCTCAGCGGATGACCAACGACTCTCGTACGTCACCAGGATGCTTCCACCATCATCCAGCAGGACATTGTCACAGTTAAAGTCCCTGCAAAATGGGAATCCTCTGCACAAGTGAACAACAGCACCAAATCTGTATGGGTCAGCACCTGGTTAATAGATTCACCATCAATCCAAGGGATGGAATGCTCCAATCCCTCAGATCCAGAGCCAATATCCCAGTAATATTTAATTTCTATTTCCACCCTATGGTTGATACCAGGTCCTTACCTTGTAAGCCAAATTGATCAATTTAACAGACAAGCCAGTAGAACAATTTAACAGACAAGCCAGTAGAACAATTTAACAGACAAGCCAGTAGAACAATTTAACAGACAAGCCAGTAGAACAATTTAACAGACAAGCCAGTAGAACAATTTAACAGACAAGCCAGTAGAACAATTTAACAGACAAGCCAGTAGAACAATTTAACAGACAAGCCAGTAGAACAATTTAACAGACAAGCCAGTAGAACAATTTAACAGACAAGCCAGTAGAACAATTTAACAGACAAGCCAGTAGAACAATTGATCTACTACAAGGTTGATGGAACAATCAACTTACCACAAAGTTGACTTACCCCCAAACAATACCAAGTTGATGTAGCGCCGCAATGGCAGTGACGACTTGTGATGACCACACCTTAACAATGCCTTCAGGTAGTCTCGGCTGAGAGTCTTGGCCACGATTGGCCGAGTACTTCTCCAGCAGGGCGGCCAATGAGCTTTCCATTGGGGCGCCATTGTCTGTTGAGCTCAACTGGCCATTTGTGCGATTTGTACGGAGTTCATGGGATGCATTGATGTCTTCATTCTGGTCAGCAGAGTGGTCATCATCGTCACTACCAGACTGGCCAGAATGGAGGGTCATGTTTGAAATGGACAAGTCAGGAGAAGGGCGGATCGCACGAGTTGAACGACGCTCTTGTGACTTGACAGACAACTTGCGAGGACGGTGATTTTCAGCGGACAAAACAATGGAATGACTCTGGTTCTTTGGACTACCATCTTTTCGCTTCAGATTGATGACACTCACCTCTGACTGGCAGCCAGAGGGAGTCGAGTCTGGTGCTGGCAAAATCAGATAGGCCTGGCTCTCCTTTAGGTTTTTTCCACTTTCTATCATAAGCTGTTTTGCTTCCTCCTTGCCTACATGATTTAGGCCTAGTGTGTTATAATTTAGGCCTACAGTATCAGACTTCAGGCCTACAGTGTCAGAATTAAGGCCTACAGTGTCAGAAGAAAGGCCTACAATGTCAGAATTAAGGCCTACAGTGTCAGAATTAAGACCTACACTGCCATAATTAAGATCTACAGTGCCAGAATTAAGGCCTACAGTATCACTGTCATAAGGTAGTTGAGAATGTTGCAGTGAGGTGCTGTCATCAGTGTGCAATGTGGTCATTGCCTGTCCTTTACTCTGTTGCAAAGTGTGGTCAACATTCTGCAACAGTCGTTTAGAGTTTCTAATGAGGTCATTGACATCCAGCGATGCCAGCTCTGAGGCATCGCGTCTGCTCCACGAAAATGATGGCAGAGTCACGCTAGCGAAGGAGGTGTCCGTCATGCTGGCGTCGTCCATCCAGTCATTCCTGGTGTCATCCTTGTCATTCCTGGCACTGTCCCTCCAGTCATTCCTGGCATCGTCCATGGGTAAACAAGTGTCCCTTGTTCGCAAGAATAGCGCGTCTCTCACAGCATCATTCAGACTTGTCTCTTCATCGTTCATGGTGGGAGACTTCAGCGACTTGTTGTTGTCACACTTCAGTGACTCTCTGTTATCCTCACAAATTAGAAAATGTGATTTTTTATACAATGCCTCAAGTTCAGATCTGTTACTCACACTAACCAGAGGCTCACAAACACCAGTGTCATCTTCGTGTGCTCGAAAATGAGATTCGTCAAGTTCAGATCTATTTCTCACACTAACCAGAGGCTCACAAACACCAGTGTCATCTCCATGTGCTCGAAAATGAGATTCGTCAAGTTCAGATCTATTTCTCACACTAACCAGAGGTTCACGAAAACCAGCATCATCTTCGTGAACTTGAAAATGAGGTCCATCATATTCAGATCTATTTCTCACACTACTCTGAGCTTCACAGACTCCAGTGTCATCTTCGTGAACTTGAAAATGAGACTCGACACTCCTCTGATCTACACAAATTCCTGTGTGAGGTTCGTCAATACTTGTGAAGTGTGTGAAAGGTGGCGGGTCTGGCAGGAGGTTTGGCACGCACAGCGCCACAGAACAACTAAAATCATCGCTGACGCCTGAGAGCGTGTCGCTGCCAACGCTCACCTTGTCATCGTCGCTCAGTAAACTACCATTGGGCAGGACGCCAGTGTAGCGAACGTCATTATCAGTCAGTAAACTACTGCCATTGGACAGGATGCCAGTGCGGCGAATGTTGTCATCATCTTTACCTGATAGTGTTGCATTTTGGAGAACGCCGTGAATGTTGTCATTAGCAGAGAACACCGCATTTAGAGCGACTGAGTTAACATCCAGATGCCCGGCTGTGACGACCAGGGTTCCGGCGCTCAGGGACTTTGGCACAGAGGGTGTCACCACGCCGGCAGCGTCCAATGGAGGGATGGCAGCCATGGAGGCCGAGGACGGCAGACTGTGAGCGTAGTCGGAGTACACCCGGAGATATCCCTCGGAGGAGCATGGTGATGGTGCCTCCAAACACCCAGAGCGGCGGCCCGGGACCACCAGAAAGCCTCCAGTGGAGGATGGAGGTGGGGGAGACACTAGGGATGGCGCCTCGCATGGTGACAAGGCTTCCGAAGTTTCTTCAAGCAGACGGCGACCGGCATACGTGTTGCCAAAGGTGTCGTATGCCACGGCGCCACTGTTGCCACCCTCCAACACGTACTTACTGATATGGTTCCACAACTTTCCACCGCTGATGAGAGGATAAAAATAAATATTCAACTCACTTAAAACAAAGCAAATTATTATTATTGTTATTATTACATTATTATTATTATATTACAGTAACAAACTTCAAGATATATATAATTCTTTCTTATTCTTCAAGTATAATATTACTATTATACATCTAGGTAATATTAGCTTGTATTAAAGATGTTAATAATAGGTAACACAGTGGACCCCCAGGTTTCTTGAGCCTCGTCCTTTGCGAATCTCGACTTTCCGCAACTTTTTACGTCAAAATATAGCCTCGCGTTTTGTGTTTGGCCTCATGATTCGGCAACCATCTGGTACGTGTGTGAGCGGCATCCCAGTGTCAGCGTGCACACAAAGCCAGTCTCCTACACCATTCAGCATCAGTGTGTCATTGTTTATCGGCGAGTGATCATCATCGCACGCATTCATACAATACATTTTGTAATATTCCATTCTTTTTTGTGCTTGCAACTGTTAAATAAGCCACCATGGGCCCAAAGAAAGCTAGTGCCAGCCCTTTGGTAAAGAAAGTGAGAAACACGATCGCATTCAAGAAAGAAATCATTGAAAAATACGAAAGTGGAGTGCATGTGGCCGAGCTTGCCAGGTTGTATAACAAACCCCTTTCAACCATCACCTCTATCGTGTCTAAGAAAAAGGAAATCAAGGAAGCTGTTGTTGCAAAAGGGGTAGACATGCTCACAAAAAAGAGAGCGCAAATACTCGAAGAAGTGGAGAGGTTATTGTTGGTGTGGATTAGCCAAAAACAGTTAGCAGGAGATATTGTTTTGTAGTCGATAATTTGTGAAGAGACAAGCAGTTGCATGATGATCTCATGAATAAAATGCCTAGAACAAGTACTGCTGTTGGTGATCTTAGGGCCAGCAAAGGCTGATTTGAGAGATTTAAGAAGTGCAGTGGCATACACAGTGTGGTAAGGCATGGTGAGCCTGCCAGTTTTGACAAATATGTGGCTGAAAAATGTGTGTGTGAATTCAAGGACTATGAAGAGGCTGAAAAATTCCACCACCAACAAGTGTTCAACTGTGAAAAAACAGGCCTCTTTTGGAAGAAAATGCCAAAGAAGACCTACATCACACAGGAGGAAAAGGTAATGCCAGGACACAAGCCTATGAAAGACAGGCTAACTCTCATGCTTTGTTGTAATGCTAGTGGGGAGTGCAAAGTGAAGCCTTTACTGGTGTATCACTCTGAAAATCCCTGAGTGTTCAAGAAAAACAGTGTTGCCAAGAGTAACCTGTGTGTGATGTGGAAGACTAACAGTAAGGCATGAGTCACAAGGGAAATTTCCTTGATTGGTTTAATGAAGTGTTTGGCCCCAGTGTGAAGAAATACCTCCTGGAAAATAAACTGGAACTCAAGTGCCTCCTGGTAATGGACAATGCACCTGCTCATCCTCCAGACCTGGAAGACCAATTGTTGGAGGAGTTTAGTTTCATCACAGTAAAGTTCTTGTTCCCTAATACCACTCCTCTCCTCCAGCCCATGGACCAGCAGGTCATTTCAAACTTCAAAAAAAACTACACCAAAGCCATGTTTCAAAGGTGCTTTGATGTGACCTCAGACACTCACTTGACCCTAAGAGAGTTTTGGAAAGATCACTTTAGTATCCTCCACTGCATAAACCTTATAGGTAAGGCTTGGGAGGGAGTGACTACCAGGACTTTGAACTCTGCTTGGAGAAAATAATGGCAAGATTGTGTCCAAAAGAGGGATTTTGAAGGGTTTGGGGCTAACCCTGAGGACCCTATGCCAGTTGTGGAATCTACTGTGGCATTAAGGAATTCCATGGGGTTGGATGTGAGTAGCGAGGATGTGGAAGAGTTGGTGGAGGACCACAGGGAAGAGCTGCAAGACCTTCATCAGCAACAGCAACAGACAGCAGCTCAGGAAAATGCTTCGGAGGAGGAGGAAGAGAGAGGGAAGAAGTTCCTTCTTCAAAGATTAACCCTTTCAGGGTTTCCGACGTACTAGTATGGCTTATGCACCAGGGTTATTGATGTACTAGTATGCCTAAATTCTAGCGCCTTTAAATCTAGCAAGAGAAAGCTGGTAGGCCTACATATGAAGGAATGGGTCTATGTGGTCAGTGTGCACAGTATAAAAAAAAAATCCTGCAGTACACAGTGCGTAATGAGAAAAAAAAAACTTTGATCGTGTTTTTGGTTTAAAACAACAACTTTGCACTGTATTTTCATATGGTATTTATGGCTGTATTCTAGTTTTCCTGGACTCATTTTATAGAATGGAAGACATATTACAGAGATTGAGATGATTTTGATTGGTTTCACAATGAAAAGTACCTTAAAATTGAGCTCAAAATAGCAGAAATGTTCGATTTTTGCCAAAGTTCAAAAGTAAACAAATCATGCCACACGTCAACTGGTCAGCCTAATATTCTTTCACAAGTGCGCTGATATTATTTATACCATTTTGACACTAATGCAGTAGTCTACATAACAGTAAATCTTCTGTTTTTTGTGAGAATAAAAATTCAAAGTGGAAAGCAAAAGAATGTAAGAGGGGCCTGGGGAGGATGTGACTAATGAACAGAGGAAATGTTATTTTAGTGCCAGGAATGTCTTTCTTGTTTATTCTGAACCCTATTTGGAAATTGGCATCTTTAGAAATTTGTGTGAAATTGGCAAAATTGCTAATTTCTGACCACTTTATTGAATAGTTGAAATTGGTAAATGGGTGGTTTCTTGTACTCATTCAATAGAAAAAATAGAGTTCTAGCAAAATAGCTATGATTTTTGTCCACTAGTACATTGGAACTGGCCAAAAATAGGGCTCAAAGTGGACGAAATCGCCGATACGTAAACACTGTCAAGACCGCTAACTTCACGCGAGCATAATTCCGTAAGTTTTTCATCAAATTTCATACTTTTGGGGTGTCTATCTTTCCATAAGAAAAAATAATTTTTTTTCCAAAAAATTTTCAACCCTAAGAACAAGTTTAGGAGAAGGCCTCTCGACCCTGAAAGGGTTAAGAAAATCTGTGCAATGTGGAGTAGGGTGCAAACATTTATGGAAGAACATCACCAGTATCTGCGACATGTTCAATGACAATCTCATGTCCCATTTTAGGGAAATTTTAAAGAGACGCCAGAAACAATTCTCTGGACAGATATTTAGTGCCACAGGTGTGCACTGACTCTCAAGCTGGTCCTAGTGGCTTTAAAAAAAAAAAGAAGGGAAGTAACCCCAGAAAAGGACTTGGTACCTGAAGTCTTTATGGAAGGGGATTCCCCTTCCAAACAATAGTGTAACTTCCTCCTCTCCCGTCCTCCAGGCTTCCAGACACCACAAACTCTTCAATAAAGGTAAGTGTAATGTTATTATTGTTTTAAACATATATGTACTTGATTTCTCATTGTTTTCTGTATGTAAATCTTTATTAATGTTAAAAAATATATTTTTTTTAATACAGTGGTCCCTCGCTTTTCGTAGTTCTCGGCAATCGTAAATTTCGCAAATCATAGGGGTATTTTCACATAAACATGGACTCGCTTTTCATAGGTTGACTCGCGAATAGTAGTTCGTCCAGGACGCGTACGCACGGTGTGAGCCGGGGCGGCCTCCCTACCCAGCCAGTCTGGCATTGTTTACCAGTGAGTGAAGGTCCCCACAAGTGCTCCTACGAAATATTTCATAATATTTCACTCATTTTAGCGCTTCCAATTACTAAATAAGCTACCATGGCTCCAAAGAAATGTCCTAGTGCCAAGCCTGTGGTAAAGAAGGTGAGAAATATGTACAGTGACAAAGTCTTGGGCCATTTTCGGGAAGTGTTAAAGAGACGCCAGAAACAGAGCTCTCTCCACAGTTCCTTTGCGAGACAGGACTAGAGTGACTCTCAAGGTGGTCCTAGTGGCATTAAGAAACAAAAAGAAGCACCCGAAGCAATTGGTGCCTGAGGTGTTGCTGGAAGGGGATTCCCCTTCCAAACTGTAAACAATCCAATCTCTCTCCTCCTCCAGTCTCCCATACACTAAGAAGAATCTCCAATAAAGGTAAGTGTTATGCTGTTAATGTTTCATTCATCATTTCCCATTGTATTGTTTATGTACTACATGTATATTTCATGGAAAATTATTTTTTTTTGTTTTAATACTTCTGGGTGTCAGGAACGGATTAATTGTATTTACATTATTTCTTATGGGGAAAATTGATTCGCAAATCGTAAATTTTGTTTATAGTAACGGCTCCAGGAACGGATTAATTACGAAAAACGAGGGACCACTGTACATGCATTTTTGGGTGTCTGGAACGGATTAATTAGATTTACATTATTTCTAATGGGGAAAATGGTTTTGCCATTCATGAATTTTGACTTTCAGCAGACTGTCTGGAACAGATTACTCACGAAACTCAGGGGTCCACTGTATTAGCTTCTACTAAAGATGTTAATATTAGGAAATATTAGCTTGTATTTAAGATGTTAATATTAGGTAATATTAACTTGTATTAGATGTTAATATTAGGTAATATTTTGAGGGAGTATGGGGGAAGTGATGTATTCAGATATGTAGGAGTGGACATGTCAACAGATGGGTCTATGAAAGATGAGGTGAATCATAGAACTGATGAGGGGAAAAGGGTGAGTGGTGCACTTAGGAGTCTGTGGAGACAAAGAACTTTGTCCTTGGAGGCAAAGAGGGGAATGTATGAGAGTATAGTTTTACCAACGCTCTTATATGGGTGTGAAGCATGGTGATGAATGTTGCAGCGAGGAGAAGGCTGGAGGCAGTGGAGATGTCATGTCTGAGGGCAATGTGTGGTGTGAATATAATGCAGAGAATTAGTAGTTTGGAAATTAGGAGGAGGGCCATCCTGCCATGGTGTGGAAACAGCCGATGTGTTAATAAAATAATAAATACTAATATTAGTTTGTATTAGAAGTTAATATTAGGTAATATTTGTTTGTATTAGAGAGACTAGATAAAAATGATAGTAGGTATCACAAGTAAGCTCACTTCTGAACTTGAACATGATAGTAGGTATCACAAGTAAGTTCACTTCTGAACTTGAACATGATAGTAGGTATCACAAGTAAGCTCACTTCTGAACTTGAACACTAGCACAGTCTTCTTGAACACTGGTGGTGGCAACAAGGTCCTAGGAGCTAGAGCTCACAGCCAACCACGTGTCTTCAAAATACCCACCTGGAAATGGAGAGGCTTCATATAACTGTGGATACTGTCTCTTCCCAGGCCACCTTAGTATGATACTGAGGGAAATGAGGAGAATTTGAGCTAACCTGTAATCTAACTCCAACAGACGTTAGGTTAGGTGAGGTTCGTCAGGTAACAGGACAATTGTGCCCCGATGTGGGGCTTAGATGATCCGCCACTGGAGCTTTTGGTCATCCAACCAAGGTCTTCCACTGGCTTACCATTCTACCCCTTTAAGGGGGGCCATGAAGAGCCATATTAGCCCAGGGAAATGACTGAAAGGGATAGGCTTTTTGGAGAGAGAGTTGGAGCCCAGGAGCTGGAGCTTTTGACTGCTGTGTGTGTGTGTGTGTGTGTGTGTGTGTGTGTGTGTGTGTGTGTGTGTGTGTGTTGTGTGTGTGTGTGTGTGTGTGTGTGCGGCTGTGGGTGTGTGTGTGTGTAGTGTGCAGGGGAGTGTTTATGCCGTGGTGCCGGTGCCGGGGAGTGTTAGTGAGGTACTAGGGTATGCAGACTTGGCCGAGTGCCGGTGCTAGCGGCAGGAATGAGGTACAGGGTACACAAGACTCTGGCATCATCATGCTGGTGCCAGGGGAGGTACAGGGTACACAAGACTCTGGCATCACCATGCTGGTGCCAGGGGAGGTACAGGGTACACAAGACTCTGGCATCACCATGCTGGTGCCAGGAGGTAAGGTACACAAGACTCTGGATCACCATGCTGGTGCCAGAGGAGGTACAGGGTACACAAGACTCTGGCGTACCTGATAAACTTTAGCACCAGGTAGATGGCGGCGGATGTCTCATGGTAGCGGATGATTGGCACCATGAATGCCACTGATGCTGGAACTACAGTCTTGCTGCTGCCACCACTGCCGCCGCTGCCACCACCGCTCTTAACCACCACCTGACAACCACATCCACTGTTACTGGTAGTTTGTATTAGACAATACTTAATCTAAGTTAACCTGAACTTAAACCTAACTTATTCTGAACTTAACCTTTAACCTGAACTTAACCTAACTTAATCTAACTTAACCTAACTTAACCTGCTCTACATATTTACTATTATCATTATTATTACAGTAGGGCCTCACTTTACAGTGTTCTGCTAATGCGGACATTTCAGATTATGACCAAAACTTGTTATACAGCTTCACCCCACCTGACTCTAATACAGCCACCGCACCCCAGTGTTGTTTACATTCTTTGTGAGCTCCGCATCTCTCCATCATGTCTGGAAACTTTCCAAAATTTCAAGTGTTTTAACCCTTTGACTGTTTTGGTCATATGTCTTACTTGCCACTGTTTCAGACATATTTATACGCGTAAATTCTAGCGGCTTCAAATCAAGCAGGAGAAAGCTGGTAAGCCCACATGTGAGAGAATGGGTCTGTGTGGTGAGTGTGCACCACATAAAAAAATCCTGCAGCACGCAATGCATAATGAGAAAAAAAACTGACCATTTTTTTGGATTAAAACGCCGACTTTGAGGTGTATTTTTGTAAAGTATTTATCACTGTATTCTCGTTTTCATGGTCTCACATGATAAAATGGAAAACACATTACAGAAATAGAGATGATTTTGATTAGTTTCACGATGAAAACGACCTTGAAATTGAGCTCAAAGCAGCGGAAATGTTCGATTTTTACAAATGATCAGGAGTAAGCAAATCACACCACACGTCCAATACACTTCAACTGGGAAGTCTAATATTCTTTCACTAGTGCACTGATATTATTTATACCATTTTTACAACAATGCAGTAGTCTGCGTAACAGTAAATTTTGTATTTTTTGTATGAATAAAAAATCAAAATAGAAAGCAATAGTAATATAAGAGGGGCCTAGAGATGTGACTAATAAACAGAGGATATGTTATTGCCAAGAATATCTACATTGTTTATTCTGGACCCTATTTTGAAATTGGCATCTTTTTAATTTGCGTGAAATTGGCCAAATTGCCAATTTCTGACCACTTTATTAGGTAGTTCAAATTGGTAAATGGGCAGTTTCTTGTACTCAACTGATAGAAAAAAATGGAGTTCTAAAGAAATAGCTATGAGTTTGGTCAACTGGAACAATGGAATTGGCCAAAAACAGGGCTCAAAGTCAGCGAAATCGCCAATGCGTATATGTCGCCAAGACCGCTAGCTTTGCGGGAGCGTAATTCCGTGAGTTTTTGACCAAATTTCATACTTTTGGTGTCATTACCATCAGGAAAAGATTCTCTATCATTTCATAAGAAAAAATAATTTTTTTTTCCAAAAATTTTGTGACAGAATGACAGTTTCAGAAAGGGGCTTGCGACAGTCAAAGGGTTAAAGTTACTGCATATTTCATATGTACTCTGATAATTATACGCAAGTGTACCTGTACCTAAATAAACTTACACACTGTCTTATTAATCTTGATGCCATAGTCATAATAATAACACTACTATGTAATAATAATCACTATTGGGCACATTAACCCTCTGAGGTTCCGTCCCATAGTTCTATGGCTTTGAAGCCAGGGTCCAAGCCGTAGTACTACGCCATGAGTTCAGCTCACTCAGATAAGCTGTGAGCGGTAAATTTGGGCCTAGATATGAGAGAATGCATCTAGGTGGTAAGTGTGCACCATATAAAACAAATCCTGCAGCACATAGTGCATAATGAAGAAAAAAAACTGCAACCATATTTTTTAGATTGAAATAGTGACTTCACAGTGTTTTTTTCATATGTTTTTTTACAGCTGTATCCACGGTTTCTTGGTCTCATTTGATAGAATGGAAGATATATTACAGAATTAGAGATGATTTTGACTGATTTTAGTACTGAAAATAGCTTGAAACTGAGCTCAAAGTAGCAGAAATGTTCGATTTTTGCCAACGTTCAATAGTAAACAAATGACATCACGCGTCCAATACATGTCAGCTGGTGGGTCTAATGTGCATTCACAAATGCGCTTATATTATTTATACAATTATTACAATATTGCATAACAGTAAATCTTCTATTTTTTGGTTGGCACAAACCTACTATTATTATATTATGCTCCTCACTTAGCAATGAATTCGTTAACCAACAAGGTCTTAGGAACGGAACTCCGTCGTTAAGTGAGAAGAGGCTGTATTACAAATGGTACATTTAGTAATGGGATTGGATTTGTCTTGGCATGATACACTGTTGGAAGAGTATCTTAGGCAAACTTAGGACTAACTTAAGATTTAATAGGCAAAAGCTATATTAGGAATTTTATGTTTACAGTCATTTGGGTGAGTGTAAGTGCAAATTAGGGGAAATTACAGATAACCTGGGATAACCCAAAAACGTCAAAGTGACTTATTTCCATTGGCGTCCTTTTATGGGGTTTTTTATGTTGTCTGTGAAATTCATTGCATTCCTATCATTATTAATGCCGCTAAGTTAAGATATAAATGAATAACTTCTGTGATAATCAACGAAAAAGAGTGTATATCATAGTCAGCCCTGTACTACACTGGGTTTTCTCTTAACCCTTTCAGGGTCGAGAGGTTCTCTCCTAAACTAATTCTCAGGGTCGAAAATTTTTAGGAAAAAAAAAAAAAATTTCTTATGAAAAGAAAGAGAATCTTTTCCCGATCATTATGACACCAAACATATGAAATTTTATAGAAAATTTATGGAATTATGCTCTCACAGAGTTAGCGGTCTCAACGATGTTTACGCATCGGCGATTTCGCCCACTTTGAACCCTATTTTCGGCCAATTCCAATGTACTAGTTGACAAAAATCATAACTATTCTGCTAGAAATCCATTTTTTTCTATCGAATGAGTACAAGAAACCACCCATTTACCAATTTCAACTATCCAATAAAGTGGTCAGAATTTAGCAATTTTGCCAATTTCACACAAATTTCAAAAGATGCCAATTTCCAAATAGGGTTCAGAATAAACAAGAAAGACATTCCTGGCACTAAAATAACATTTCCTCTGTTCATTAGTCACGTCCCCACGCCCCTCTTACATTCTTTTGCTTTCCACTTTGAATTTTTATTCTCACAAAAAACAGATTTACTGTTATGCAGACTACTGTATTAGTGTAGAAATGGTATAAATAATACCAGCGCACTTGTGAAAGAATATTAGACTCACCAGTTGACATGTATTGGACGCATGGCATAATTTGTTTACTTTTGAACTTTGGCAAAAATCGAACATTTCTGCTATTTTGAGCTCAATTTTAAGGTACTTTCATTGTGAAACCAATCAAAATCATCTCAATCTCTGTAATATGTCTTCCATTCTATAAAATGAGACCAGGAAAACTAGTATACAACCATAAATGCCATACGAAAATACAGTGCAAAGTTGCTGTTTTAAACCAAAAACATGGTCAAAGTTTTTTTTTTTTTCTCATTACGCACTGTGTGCTGCAGGATTTTTTTTATACTGTGCACACTGACCACATAGACCCATTCCTTCATATGTAGGCCTACCAGCTTTCTCTTGCCAGATTTAAAGGCACTAGAATTTAGGCGTACTAGTACATCAATAACCCTGGTGCGTAAGCCATACTAGTACGTCGGAAACCCTGATACGGTGAATATAAGTCCCCAAGACAGGGATAGAAGGATGGTACTTTTATCCCATATACTCTGTTATTATTATTACTATTATTCATTCTAGAGTATTAATATTTATATTGTTTATTATGTCATATTAGATCAATTATGATAGGTAAATAAGCTGTAGTGTTGATATTAGCATAATAATAAAGCATATTCCCCCACATCACGAGACTCAGGAGCGCGTGGCAACTGACAGTGGCTTCAAAGTCACCTTATATTTTATGGACAATATACTGCGTCGGTGCTTTACGCAACGAGAAGCATTTCTTTTATCCACTGGAACCATGGCGAGGGCTAAAAGTGAGCAGGTTATAACAATAAGTGGAGAAAAACAAACTGAAATGACTTATGCAGTAAGTAGCGCTACCAAACAGTAGCAGCAGGTTGGTGTGGACACTGGAAATTTGAAACTATGTTAGCCGAGATTACTGATGGAATCGCGTAACTGATTACCAGATTAGTGATGGCCGATCTGTATTTTGAAATCTGTGTTAAATTGGCCAAATTACCAATTTCCGATCATTTTGTTAGGTAGATGAAACAGTTGACTGGGCGATTTCTTGTGCTCAATCGATAAAATACAAGTAATATTAGTGAAAAAGCTAAGAATTTGGTTGACTGGAATAATGTAATTGGCCTAAAATGGAAGTCGAAGTCAGCAAAATCACTGATGCATAAATATCACTGACACAGCAAAATTCACAATAGTGTAATTTCATTAATTTTCCATCAAATTTCATACTTTTTGTTTTATTACTGTCAGAAAAAGATTCTCTACCATTTCATAAGAAAAAATAGCAAAAATTTTTTGAAAATTCTTGGGCCCTGCGGACAAGTTGTAGATCTACAGCTTGGACACCTCAAAGGGTTAAATGTCTTATTTTACGTCAATATATTCATTTTTATTAATTCATCTACTGTATTTTCTTCAAAATTATATAAGAAACATATTACATAGCTTATAAACATGATACATATACCCACAGGACAATAAATTTCACATATGAGGTGAGGTAGCCGAGCGGAGGAAAAACATTACGTTCTCTCTGGTCCAGGACTAGAGAAAATGTGCATCAATGCTTGTTTAATGCATTCAGGTTTGTTTACAATTGTCAGCATGATTTCTCATCACTTCTCTGCCAGATATGATGCATATAAGGGTAGTTGTTAGAAATTATTAAACTCAGTGAACAAGGTACAGTGGTACCATGACTTGTGAGTGCCCCAACTTATGAGTTTTCCGAGTTACGAGCCATCGCTCAGTCGATTTTTTGCTTTGAGTTGTGAGCCAAAATCTGAGTCAGAAGCAAGC